CTTTTAATCCATACACTTGGAGAGTAACTTGTACGTTTTTAAAGTCATCTTTAAATTTCTCTATATATATATATACGGAGGAAATCTTAAAGAGACTTCCATCAATATGAAATTCCACCAATTAATTTACTACAATATTTTTTTTTCGCAAATTCTACATTATCCTTGACATCAAAGGAAAAATATTCTTAAGAATGTCCAAAATTGTTGGCAAACTAATTGAAAATAAAGTTTTAATAATTCTTTTTTTTTTATAAATTGGCAGACTTAATTTTGTTTTGAAAGTTGAAATTATATAAGGATAATAGTAGGAAAATGTGTCATAAGAACTATAAAAATTATTTCTGAAAGGAATGTTTCAAGTAAGAAAGGAAGTAAAAAGGAAAATTTGCTGTCATGCTTATTGCAATGCTAATGGCAGCGCTGCCGTTGCAGTCGGAGGGATATGCCAGGACGAGAGCACTGTAAGCAGGAGTGTGTATTGTATTTTTAAATAAGTGTTAGTTTCAGTTGCAGATTTTTATCAGTGCTTCTGTGTGTGTGTGTGTGAGTGTATGTGAGTGTGTGTGTGTTGGTGAGAAAGGGCGATTTAAAATGAATATCATTGGCAAGAATCCAATTATAATGGTATAATGTCCAAAGGGAATAAATTTGTATAACATAGCAGACCATGACAGTGCAATCATGACAGTGTGTTGCACTCGTTCGTACTTAGTCGTTTGTTATCTTTCTTGGTGATTATGGCTAAGAAGTTTAAAATTGAAAGGACAAAAGGACAACAGAATGCTGAGCTAAGCTGAGCGCAGCTAAGTAACACTGGTCTACAGCACTGGTGTGCAGTGGTGAAGTAATAGTGGGTGACACAACATGGCAAATGATGGTGCATGTTAAGTGCACTCCTGGCAAACACGTACTGTGCAGCGCATAAAATGTTATTATTAAAGCACAATACTATATATCGCCTTGGGTGTGGAATAGATGCTGTTCTATATATGAATGACGAAATGAATGGAACGAAATTATTAGTTGTTATGATATTTTCACTTCAGGCTTCCTCAAATATAAAAAAAAAACACAAATTTTTGACTTGTTTGTTTGACTGATTATTATTGTTATTTTTAGTAGTGGATTTGTAGGTTTCCTTTGTATTCTGAAATGCAAATGTGTAGGTAAACTCGGTGATATGTTGGTAGTCAAGTATGTGTACTTGACATGTAAATTTATTTAAGAAATAAAAATAGCATCAACTTAAAAATAAATTTCAACAATTGGTGGAACGAGTAATTTTAATTGCCGCCTCACACATACTTAGAAATGTTAACGCGCTTGTTCGTTGATAGCGTTTTATTAACACGCCGGATACGGAAATACGGCAGCGGTTACAAATGTCAAATGACAGTGTTGCTAGCATGTGCAATACTTTCAGGCAAGTGAGCAGGTCGTTGAGTGCCTAACGAGTGAGCTGGGAATTTGCCTTTGACATTAATGCCTTCATTTGTGCTTGAATTCTTTTATTGTCTCAGGCTGCCTCCAGTTGAACCCACGAAATCGTGGCACAGAATTATAAAGTTTTTATTTCGCGTTGTTTGTGTTAAGTTGGTTAAACGAAATAGTATCTTATCCGTCTCGCTGGGTTTGGGGAGTTGCTAATTCTTTTAAACGAAAGTATTGCGCGCTTGTGGGTATCAAAGTTAAGGCGCTGGGGGCAAGAAATTTAGCACAAGAAATGTGAGTAATGGTGTAAAATATTGTCGAAATAACAGTGTAGCAGAAATTTACTTTACTGGAATTTTCTGTTAAATTTATGGAGTTGCCACTTGTTGATTGAATTTATACTACCTCGTAGTTTATGGAAATGTTCTGCCATTGTGAAACAGATTAACATATTAATGTAGCTGAAAACCTATGTAGATTCTTTTAATGTTCATTACTTTTCTTTCAGCCAGCTTTCATATGTGCTGAATGGCATATCTTTATTGTCCTTAAGCCACACTCTGAATTTATTGCATTTGATGCGCAAGTATTGAGCTTTAATTAAATTCTATTATTTGTTTGCAATCACTTCGAGCTTCATCGTTCCTTAATTGCAAGTGTTATTGTTGTGCTAAATACCACGGAAACATGCTGGAACACATTTTCATTTCACAGCTAAGAATTATTTCCTCATGAAAATTCAATTATGCTCGTTACGCCTTTTCCTCTTTGAACATCAACCAAGTGCTCATTCAGGCAAACATTCCCGAAAAGTATGATGTAGGAAAAAAAAATTTTCATATTGAATTTTAAGTCCTGTTGAAACCACGTACTCCATTTTCTTTACCACTGCCATTTCAGAGACTTTTTTCTATTGAGCTTTCCTCACATTTTCACTACTTTCGCGGATTTGCACATGCAATGAAGCTTGGCAGTGAACATTTAAATAGCATCAGCAAGTTTGCTTAGGCAAATTTGGCTAAGGAAGGTGAATGCAAAGTCCACATAAAAAACTCTACTCATATAACCCATTTAGTCGTACTTTTGGACTTAGTATGTCCTCTTTTTTTTTTGCAGGTATTTCTCTCTAAGCCTGCTGGCTATATTTTTACGCTTTTCCTCTTCTCGTTTTTTATTGCATTCGGAGTTTTGTTGGCAGGTGCAGAGTTGTCAAAGTGTTTGCATTTCAAATGGATTTCCCCAACGGAGAAAGGGAAGTGATTTAAGATTTGGCGTATTCTGACAGCAAAGAGTTCGAACTTTCAGCATTTTCAATAATGTGCAGCAATGGAAATTTATTGACTATTACTTGACTCAGTAATATTGCACATCGGATTACTGGTAAACAATTGCAAAGTAATAAATTTTACTTAGTAAGTTTGAAATGTAAGCCAAACATAAAAGACAAACCAAAAAATGAATCTTATTTTTTCTTCAAGAAGGTAAGTTACTAAAAGGATTTTTTCCAATCCGAGAAGAAAAAACTTGAAAAAAATATAAATAAATTGAAACTGTAATAAGTAAAGAAGAGCATATTTTAAAAGTGTATTTGCGTTTTCTATTGACTCTTATATGACTCGTTTCAAAATAAAAGTCCATAAACCAACTATCATTTCAATATCTACTACGGTATCAAAATCAAGTACAAGTATTATTATATATGTACTAGGTAATATTTAACCAGTATGTATTATGAAAAAATTTATGGAAACTATTTGAAAAGTTTTGAATTTTAATTTATGAAAATAAATATGAAAAGGCTATCATTTTGAAGTGACTACGTAACTAATTTCGTTTTCGATTGGTAAGACTAAATTCAATCTAGATTTACTTTCGATCTGTCAAATTTTGTTGCCTAATCGAACATTTCTATAGTCATCTAACATGTTAGTATTAGCAGAAATGTATAGTTTTTATAAATGCATATACTAAATCAAATCACACCTTATCTGTCAAATTACACTTTATCTGTCAAATCATATAAAACAGCTGTTAATTTTAGGGTCATCTAACTATTCTGACAAAATATCTAGAGTATTATTAGTATTATTAGTACTTCGCTCTAGATTTATTAATCGAAAATTAAAACGAAGTGAAAGCGAGTGTCGATTAAAAAAGTTTCTCCAGATTTATCAATTGAAAATGGCATAGGACGATATTCACTAAAGAGTTTATTGTTTGGACCGTTCTAAACAGAAGATATCAGAATAAAGGCTCGAAGTAAGAAGAGAAATAATGTCACGATTTCACTGGAATACAATGATATATTTTAACATTTGATTGTTAAAACAGTTAGAATTAAAACAGTTAAACACAAAAAAATCAATAACTTTTCTTCAAAAATCATTCATTCAGAGTATTTTTGAAGAATCTTTTAAGTATTGTTTTTTTTTATTAAAAGGAAATAGATTTACATTAAAATTACAATTAGTATAAAACAACATAACATACACTAAGTACCAATTTTTTCTGATTACATATATGATTACATATATATAAATATGTACAAATCCATAATGTCTATATTAATCTAGGAAAATATTTAACAGCGACGGCATATTTGAACAAATATTGAAGAGGTGCTCAAATGGGCCAACAGATTCATATACGCTGTTCTGGTTTAACATTTCCCTGAAGTAATAATAACATTACATGGTAGTCATTGTTAGACTATTGTTAGAATGGAATATTTAGACCATATTAGAGGTAATATGGAACATTAATTATCAGTCGTAAGGCTTTGTTTTAGTAGTGCTGGATTTTCGCAATACTATTTTTACTAGCATATGTCTAAAGTTGTGTGGCTTATATCCTTATAGTATGTAATCAGGATTATAATCAATAGGTATTTATTTACACAACATAAGTTTTTTTTAAAGTGACATAGTTCTGTGCTTGCACTTGAAAAATTACAATATATAGTGTTGAATCTATATCGTATCAACCTTAAACCAAAATACGAAATATATGCTATATATATATATATATCGATGGCCGCATATTAAAATCGATGGCCGCAGCTTTTTTTGAATATATCATATTGCTAAGATTAGCTAATCACAGTGGTCTAGTGGCTAGCAATCCTACTATTGCTACTAAGGTTCAGGTTTAAGTCTCGATGAAAACGAATGATGTTTGTGAATTGAAAAAATTCACTTTCATAATGAATATAAGAAAAATCATGACCATAACTAAAAATTACTAATAAAGGTGTTCAATATAATTGATAACAGTTTTTATACATTTGAGAAACTCTTAGCTGTATTTCACAATTAGGATTCAAAAAACTCTGTACTTGGTTGTTCGATCAAATTTTAAAGTTCTTTAGTGAATGGTAAATGTTAATCCATCGAATCATAAAGAGAAAAAGTGCAACATCTATTATATTATTTCGGATAAGCATAGCTTGATGATCTGTGTAACATGCAGAATTATTTCTTCCAAAACCGTATGAACACTACAGTTTCTTTCAATTTAAAAAAGAAATAAATAAAAACAAATAAAAAATTAAATTGATATATCGCTTTTATTCGTGGGTAACAAACTTAATGAGTTATCGTATAAAAATAAAAAATACTGCATTCCAACAAAACTTATCCATAAAAACCTTTAATGAATGGAAGAAACAACGTTTGGTTTATCACCAACTATGGACGTAACTAATAATTAAGGGATCATCAACGCTTGTGGGAACGATTTCCACTGACTGCACAATTGGCTGCAAATGCAAGTCGCTGTCAACATGCGCGAATGTGCCAAATTCCTCGAAATCGGAATCAACAAGCACATAATCGGATTCAGTTTCAATTAACACAGCTGATGCAGCATTACTGTTTTTTGGTTCAGCAGGTTGAACCGCTGGTATGACAGGTGTATCATCCACCTTTTTGGCAACTGCTGGATTTTCAACATTTTTAGCTTCTGTTTGATTTGGTGATGTTTCGTTGATTGCATGTAATTTTGTCACTGGTACAACTGTCGTCACTTCTTCAGCTGCAATGGTGCTAGTGGTAGTTTCGGTTGTTGTTTCCGTTGTGGCATCAGCTATGATTTCTTCGGATTCTTCTACATTTTCTTCTTCTTCTTCTTTTGGTTGCTCATGTAGTTTGGGTGCACTAAGAAGTAATAATTTTTCCGATTTCCTTAGTTTAGAATTGTCTTCATTTTCTTCTTCAATCTCATCGAATAATTCTATTTCAATGCCTTCCACAGTACCTGGTGCTGGGTCTAATTCAGCAGCTGTAATTTTAATACTGGCATCTTCATCTCTACTTAACGCTGTAATTGTGGTTTCCTCAGCGTTTTCTGGTGCCTTTGTTGTGAAATCTTCTTGTTCGATATCTGTTGATATTGTGGTGGCTTCTAATGTTGTTATTGATTGTGATTTTTGCACAGATACATTAGAGCCAGCATCGATACGTAATACGCGTGCCTGAGTATAAGAAAATAACAGGCAGGATAATAAAACTTTGGTTATTAAACCTTTTGTTGTCATATTTTATGATTTTTGATAGATTTTTATTTTTACTATCCACACTATTTGCTACTTAACGTTTTATATATTTAACTCGAACTGATTTAATTGAATTTTTATCGTCTTATTTATATTGTTTGCTGCTTGCATTATGTCAGCTCATCATAATATTTTGTCACAAATTGACCCTGATAGTATGTAGAAGCTTCTACATAATTTTGGTTTCGCTTTATTTACGTACATTTTCCGTGTTTGTGAGCAGCATCGATATCCGGAAATGTAAAACTGCCAAGTAAGCCGAACAGAAGTCTATGTACATCCACATACACTCGTGCGGGTTTATGGATGTATTGCTATTAAAATAGTTGCCAAGGGGATGTACCTAATCGCATAATACAAGTACATTACACATCGTCATCACAGCATTAAATTGGTTTACGACCAACGAAAAAGCTGCTTCTCTACGATGGTCACCTTAAAAACGCGGTCGTTTACACTGTGCAGCACGTGCTGATCTTTTTTGGTCACATAAACTTTGGGAAGTGCGATTTCATATTTGAGTCACGTTTCCAATAATTTCACTGTGTTTATTTTTTGTGTGCTACGTTTCGTAATTGATATTATTATTATGATTAAATTTGCTTCGCAATGTGGGCTAATGACATCTGAAATGAACCAAAAATGCTTGAGAAACTTTACAAAATAGATTATCTTCTAATGTTTATGGATTGTTAATGAATGAAATGTAATCTGCGTGTTTTTGCAACTGACACCGAAGCAATCAGCAAGCATTTAATACCCTTTGACAGGAGATTAAATCCTTGCATTATTGAGATATGTGATATAAACGTAGATTTGTAGTTGTCTTAGAGCATGTAAAATAATAATTAAATTTCATATGTAAATGGATAGAGCCTCACTTTAATTAAATTGCTTCGCAAAATAAAGACACTGACTGAAAGAATCTTAACTTTGTTTTTCAATTAAATTAAGCTCTTAAGCTTTATTGAAAAATAATTGATTCCAATTTTCACAATATGTTCAAATAATTAGAATTTAATTGCTTCAAAATTAGTTTGATACAAGTTTAAAATACAAGTATTTTAAATATCAAATTAATGAAAACTTGTTTAAGGAAATAATTATTGTCTTAATTGCCAAACTTAAAAAAGTTTGCTTTAGTTTTGATTCAACTTTAATATCCTTCACAGAAACAGGTATGTTATAAATGAGTTAATTACTATTTACTTACAATAGGCAGTGGTTATATGAAATATTTTGGACGATATCGGTTAGTAACTACTGTTTTTCTAAACATTTTTGAACAAAAATATTCTTCGAATATTTCCTGAGACCACTGGTGATAAGTACTTGACAATACTCGATACAGCGTTGTATGGTCAGTTTAATTTCAATAAATTAAATAAATTTTTGTTCTTGTCTTTTCTTTGCTATTCGAATTTGTCTAACTTTTAAATAATATAGTAATTATCTGACCACACAATATCGTTTCTTTCTTTGATCCGCAATAGCATCTTTCCCTTTAGCTATTATTCAAGGCAATCAAAAATTTCTTAAAAAAATCTTTTAAAAACCGGGGTTCTACTTTACTGTTATCGTGTCTTCTGCTTTAATAAATATAAAATCATTGATGACAAATTTAATACCCTTATAAACCTGAAAACAAGTTATACCTAATCATCAATTTATATTCAAAAAAATAAAAATAATTGGAGTAGTTCAAAGAGTTGTTAAAGAAATATGTGCTGCAATTGAAGACAAAACACACAGCTTCACTCTATTCTTGAATGAAGCTCAAGGTTTTGATAAAGTCTGACAAAAGTTCTTCATGTATAAAATGAGACAATCCCTTTATAAAAATATTCATAATCTTTTCCATTCCTATAAGGCTACTAGAAAATGAAATTAAAATTGAATACCATTATTTCATTATAAATTGATACTCATATAACAGCTGAAAGTCTTCATGGGTCATTGCTCTACTTAATCTATACATCGATTTTTCATTATTCTTAAATCATGTGGTTTTCACTTAGGCGGATAATACTTAAGCTCTCTGTAAACAGTGCGACTACCAGAGCGCATCCTGATTTCAATTCCATTAAGACTTTTAGAAAATTGACTTTAAATATTGCCCATAAAAGCTAATGAAACGAAAAGTGTTCACACTTATCTTAGTTAATTGTTGCGAAATATCTGGGCATTCATCTTGACAGAACTCTGACTTAAACCAAACACGAAAAGAGTTAAAAAATATAAATAAAATTGATATCATACGAATTAATATGGATTATTTATAGAAATTGATTGCTTTAATATCGACAAAATATTGAAAGTTTTAAATAAATAAAACTCCATGGTACTCCAAGGTAGCTCAAAAAGTTATAGAAGTAATAGCTGCAACTGTTAAAAATACAAAAAATTTCAATTTAACAAAAAAAAATTTATTTTTAATTGTAATTAATTTACTGTTGTCATAGGGACATATACTCCAAACAAATTTTTATATTAAATCCATAATTACTTTATGTAATATTAAGGTCCAGTGAATCGCTTGCAATGCATATTTGGCATTATTACTAAACCACTTAAAACCATCGATGTTGTTGTACATTTGTTTTTTTATTGTATATAATTATTATTATATAATTATTAACCTCACAATGTTGATTAATATTTTATCTGATTCATATCAGAAAAATATCAGCTCCTGGCCCAAAATATATAATACAATAATAATACGCGGTAAAAAAGAAAAAAAAATTTATATATACGAGAATTAGAAAAAAGTAGCGGCTTAAAAAATTGTTTGAATAATCCGTATAAACATTTTCAGAAAAAAATCTACTTCTTCTTCTTGAGTTAGTGCTAAAAAAAAAACCATATCATTTATTTGTCTTTTAGTTGATGACGGACCTTAAATCAGCATATCTTCCTGAGAGTCCAGAAGTGGACTTGAGGATTGTTAGGGCGGGGTTAATTAGCGTAGCAACTTTAGTGAATAATTTTAGAGCTCAGAATTTATTATATTTAAATAAAAACATAGTTAGCATTGCTTTTGATATGTGAACATGAAGCAAGAAAAATAAATTTTCATTTCATATCTCAAAATTTTCTAGTACAAACCCTTTTACTTAAAATTTTAAGAAAAATGCAGGAGATTGTCTCAATTTACATTGGTAAAGCCGGTATACTTTTAGGTGAGGCGGTATGGGAGTTGTATTGCATGGAACATGGCATTCTTATTAACGGAAATATGCCATCATATGAATCTGAAACTGATTTCAAGTTCACGAATTTTTTTCAACAAGTACGTCCAGCAAAATTTGTGCCCCGTGCTCTCTTCTTCGATCTAGAACCAACATACACAAATAAGCTTCGTAATGGAAAACACAGATTTTTATTCAACTCTGAACAATTCCTAACAGGAGACGATGATGCAGCTAATAATTTTATAACCGATAGGTATAACAGCGGCTCAGAAATCATAGATTCAATGATTGAAACTGTTAGAAATTTTACTAACAATTGTGAGAATGTTGAAGGGTTTATAATTTACCATTCGGCTGGTGGTGGTACAGGTTATTGTCTAACCGCATTGTTAATGGAACGTCTACGTAATGATTATCCGAAAAAAATGTTTACCGAATTTTCCATTTATCCAACACCTATTATATCGCCTATCACGACAGAACCCTTCAATGCGGTATTAAGCACATTAACTAGCTCTGAATATTCCGATTGCTGTTTCATTGTGGATAACGAGGCTATGTATCAAATGTGTTGTAGTAATTTATTGATGAAGAATCCCAATTACACAAACTTGAATCGTTTGATAGCACAAACAGTCTCTTCAGCAACTATAAGTTTACGCCTGGAAAGCGCACTAAATAGTAATTTAAAAGAATTGCAAAAGAATTTAGTGCCACTGCCACGTTTGAACTTTCCATATGCTACTTACGCACCTGTAGTGCCTGGCGATAAGATTTATGACATTACAGTGGAACAACTAACGAAGTCGTGCTTTAGCAAAGAAAATCAAATGGTTAAGTGTAATCCAGAGTATGGTAAATATCTTGGCTGTTGCTTGCAGTTTCGTGGAAATGTCGAACCGACTGAGATTAATTTAGCTATTAAAGCTATGCGAGAAGAAAATTCTTTTGAACTTGTGGATTGGTGTCCGTCGGCTTTCAAAGTTGGTGTTAACTTACGAAAGCCAAGTTTTTTGCCTAATTCAGATTTGGCAGAACTGGAGCGTACAGCTTGTGTTCTGTCCAATAATACTAATATTGGGGATTATCTTACTCGTCTGAATCAAAAATACAATATATTGGAATCAAAGAATGATTTCGTGTGTTGGTTCAAAATGCAGAACATAGAGTTTGCAGAATACAAGGAGGCTTATGATTTTTTAAATCAACTAATCAGTGATTACGAAGAAGTGGACTTGGATATATATCAAGTGGATTAGAATTATGATGTATAAGTTCTTCAGAAATAGTTGAATATTTGTATTAGTTATATTTAAAACTATTGTGAAGCATCATGCAAGGAAGAACAAATCAAATAATAAATTTTAGTTATGAAATTACAAATTATTGCGATGTTTTTATATTTGCACACTTCGGTTCAAGTCTTAAGTCTGTATGATTTTCATGTAATCATTTTGAATATTAAGCATTCATTATGTTATCAGAACTTTCGGTTCTTATCATTATAATGTTAGGAGATCTTGCATTGCGACCTTGAAGATTAATTGTGCTTCTGCGATGGTTTCAAAATATTTGTTAAAGTGTAATTCTCTCAATGAATAGTAGTATCGAGATTAAACAGATCATATTTCCACTGCTATTGGATGGATGCCCAAGTATTTTAGCGCAAGGGAATTTCTCTGCACGTGTTTAGCGATGTTATTGTTTATATCTATATTTCAATTACCTGTAATTTCAGATAACAACTACCTGTAATTTCACATTACAATTATTTGTAATTAGTAATGAAGTGGTAATTTAATTACAGAGTAATAGATTCGTGTACAACCAATAAATTTCATTTTAGTAGTGATCAGTTTTGTTAGTTAATAAATAACTTTCCACGTTATTCTTATTCTTCTATAAATTCATCACTAAGTTTTCTATATACAATATGTGGCCATGCAAAGGAGCTAAAATTTTATCTCTCAGTTTTCAGCCATTCTACACTTACTTACTTGTTTCCTGAATAGTTTTCAGTATCCCCACGATATTTGATTATTTCAATTGTATGTATTTAAAATTATATATTTCTTAAAGTCATGTAAGTTAAACGACCCTAGTTTTCTTCTATGCTTGTTTTTTTCTTCCTAAATGACTGAGAAGAACGACATTTTCCGAAATCATAAATTTGTTGGTGGTTAAAAGTAGTGAAACTTTTCGTATTCAGGCAAATTCATCTGCTATTATGTCAGTCTAAAATGATCTAGATGTTTAGGTTACTCAGATACTGCATTTTGTTGATCTAAAGTGACATGGATTCACATTCAGCGAAATATTTGCGATAATATTAATAGCTTTGAAATTAGCATAGTCCATTATATCATCCAATTTCATTATGTACGTATATATGTTTATATTTCTTTATAAATGTATCGAGCGGAGAAGATTATTTTAAGAAGATGAGATTGGGGGATGCTTATGTGTTTCACATAAAGTTAGATTAACGAGTTTTCCTTGGACCGAAAAGGTTCTATCATATATTGACTTTTCATCCGAATTGAGTACAAACTTACATTTACTTGTGACATTGTAAATATGTAGTAATCGTACCTATTTTGCATTCCTTACTATTTAAACCCATATTTAATAATATTTTCTGTTATTTACCATATTATAATTGATTTAATTTGATTTTAGTAGATATTCTCAATGTTCAACTGTTAGATCGAGCTTATAATTGAAGAATTATTGAGATCATCATATCAATTTAATCAAGTTGACAATAAATATATTTTTTCTCTTTATAAAATCCCATGAATTACGAGAAAATTTTATTTTTCGCCATGTAAACAATGAAGAATTTTATTTTTTCTGATTTGATACTAAAACTTTCTTTATTGCAATTCAAATACTTTTGGATTTATTTTTGCATTCGAACTTTACGTGCTTTTTTGCTGCGATTTTTGTCCACAGCACTCCAAACAGTCTTTGGACTCTGGAACTTATCGTATATCTGTGTGATTCCATTGGTCACATTAATGCCATTTGACCGATTCGTTGCTGTTGCCACTTTATAACATTTGTTGTTTGCATTGAAAGTTTTAAGCTTCCTCCAACTCATATCCAACCAACTGTAGTCATCTCATCCTTCCATGTTTTACTGCTGTCTTCTATGCGTTACAGGCTGCAATCGAGCGAAAAAGTTTCCACTTTATTCATACTTTCTATTCATTTACGTGTATTGGAAAAATGCATTAGAGTTCGATATAAAGTTTTGTCTTTCGACTTTTTCCATGAATTATTTTCTATAAAAAATCGTTTTATTATTCAAAGTTTAATACTCTTCCATATCCTTTTTATGTTGCCATTTTAATGGCGAAGTAATGGTTTTTTTTTTGAAATTGTTTTTTTTTTTCTTTTTGAAAAAAAGTAGTAAACAGTAGTTATAAATTTTAGTTAACGACATAATGATTCTTTAATGAACTGGAAGGAAATCTGGATTCTTTAAATTGAAACAAAACCAATAATTATTCAATGAAATTTTAAAACAGCAAATAAAGTTTATCATTGATATTGGCAAAGAATGTGTAATGATAATTTGAAGATTATTGCTTTGTTTGGTATTAAATATACCTCAATGTTAGGGCAATTGGTTTTATTAGTTTTTGTGATCGCTTAATAATATGCATTGATGTGTTCTATCAGGTTTTCAATCTTCTTGAACAACATCGAAGAATAATTTGTAATAAACTAAATAGCATTCAATCTCGTCACCTAATTCTCTCACACTAATTTGGTTCGTACTGTAAGCACCATACATCGAGTGCATAGGATCAGATTAGTCCTAAGAAAATCATTAGTGGAAAAACATTTATGGAGCAAAACGGATATTCTGAAGTTTTTTTGGATGTTACATATGTATTCGAGTAAGTATAGTAAAAAGTTATACAGAATTCAATACCATTTTTGTGTAAGATAAAAATATGTGTGATCCTATCTAGGAATAATAAAAATTAAGGTCCTACAAAGAACGGCCCTTTTATATAAATCCAGTACAAAAAGGGAAACTGTACTTCCCGCTTAATTACAACAGTGAAAATGTACAAAATATGTTGCAACATTTTGGATAATTGCAACATTATTTTCATTAGATGTCTATTTGAAGGATATTTGGTATTCGAATATCAGTCAAAAGATGTTTGCATAATTACTATAGCATAAAAATATATCTATTAATTAAAAATAGATTTTGTGTTTAAATTTTATATCAGTTTTTTTTGACTGTTACTAAAAAGTCTGGTATTTCGGGTGTAGAACAAAATAGTGCAAGTTCAATGAGATTATAATACATCAACAAATATGAGTATAGAACGTTGTATTATGTTATTACTTAGATTGACTAGTAAAGTGAATGATAACGCTGCATCACCCAAAGCAATATTAACAAAATTTAACGAAATTAAGTTAAAATTAAGTTCTGAGAATTGTCAGTTATGCATGGTACTGTTTGGATGTCGATATTCATTTTAACACTTTGGGTAATAACTTCATAGAACAACAAATAAAACAATAACTTTTTGAAAAAATTGGACTTCATTCATTAACGTTGTTTTCTTCAAACGTAGTACAATCATTTAAGCGCTTTTCTTAAATTTTCAATATCTCTCTTTTAGAATGATTGAACTTTGGATTTATATACCTTACATAGCGTATATACCTTAAATATACCTTAGTTTTGTCGATGAGTTTTTGAACAGGTAGTAATCACTGAGTGCCAAAGGTGGCGATTACGGTAGGTGCAAAAGCAATTCGAAGCGTGATTCTTGTGATTTGGGCATAATAGACAACGACTTGTGACAAGGTGTATTGTCTTTGGGAAGAAAATCCACCCTAATTCCAAAATACGAACTCCGTAACCTTAGTAAATGTTGCATCTAATGCGCTACTAGCCATTAGATTCCCAACTGTTGTTCATACAGCTGAATATCGATTTCACTCTGAAGTGAAGTAGTACCATATATCGAAGCTTCTCATAGACTTGCAAAATATTTGTTAATTTTCATGTTCACGTAATAGGACTCCCTTTAAACATACCTTTGAAAACTTTTCACAATTTTAGATGTACGAAATGGAGAAGCTATGGATGCTACGAAACTACTTTGATGACTTAATCGAAAGAAGCTACATGATATTATAGTTACATATAAGATAGAATAGAATAAAATGGGATTTAGAAAATCTCAATATGAGGAATATTTTTGGCATCAAAGTGTGATTACTCAGAAACTCTTTTTTAACTAGTTGTAGAGTTAATGTTTAATACATCGGCTAAAAGGTTTTGAGGTCAAGTTATAAAAACACATTGTTTTATTATATTAATTTTTTATTGCCATGACTGACGCGTCTTTATGACGAAAATAAACTATTTAAAAGTTGGACGGATTCAAATAGTAAAGAAAAGACAAGAACAAATATTTTATTTAATTTATTGAAATTTGGCTGACCATACAACACTGTTTTGAGTATTGCCAAGTACTCTACATCAATGGTCTTAGGAAATATTTGAGTTTCGTAATTAGTTTATAGTCCGTATATAATTTGTTTGGACAAGTGCTAGGTTTGGACTGCAAATGCCACGTTTCCACTGCAAGTGCCAGGTTTGGACTGCTAGCGTTGCATGGTCAGCCAAATTTCAATAAATTAAATTAAATTTTGTCCTACACTTTTCTTTGCTATTCGAATCCGTCAAACTTTTACATTGTTTTATATATGCGTAAATATGTATGTTTTCAAATATTTTTGATAAAAAAAACCAAAAAAAAAACTCGGAGCCGAAAAGATCTATTTTTATTTAAAATAAATTTCATTACGTAAATAATCGACTCATTTTTATGAAGTTCCTAATGTGTAAAAGTAACGCCCTAAGCAGAATATATACATATAGAAGTGTTTAATAATAATATTTTTAATTTATTTGCTATGTTAAAATAATTCTTATGTTGCCGTATTGTACACACTTCAGACGAAAACCTTATGTTTCTTACATCGTCTCACTCTTAACATGAGTACACGCACATCCGACAATTTATAAGTTTTATAAGACAAACACAACCCCGCATTCATGTTTAAATTGCTGAATGCTGTTTTGAAGTGGAAAGAAAGAAAACAACAAAAAATATTTTATATACTTCACTCTCGCTTTTTTACAAATAGCTTTAAAATTGCTGTAAATAGCAGGCCAACAGCAAAAACAGAAAGCGGCAGCAACAACACAAACAAAGTTAACATCGAAACTTTTTTAAACTTCGACTTTGGTCAGAATTCAGCAACAAATTATTTAAAAGTTCAGCAACGAAACAAACCAAAAGTTAAAAAGCAAAACAAACAACAACAACAA